GGCCAAGTGCTATTGTTAACTGAGGAAAGTCGCTTTACTAACGAAAAGTTTTCCAAAAACATGGTAGGTACCTATGTATAAAAGTCAACATACAGAAGACTAGTATGGCGTGTCCAAAGCAATGTAAACCCCATCCTGTACACCGAGCATGCGTGACAGGCGCCATCACCGCTATCCCCACCGTGCGCAATCTGTCATTTTTAAGGGAGGTCAAAGAATATCAATTGGATGTGTATTATAGATACAGCTCTTTAAACGTTATACCATTGAATAAAAATAGTGGTTTTTTTATTCAATGGTTATATGCTGTGCGAAAAGAAATGTATCAGGCTGTTTAAAAGTATAGCTAATAATCTTACTGACATCTAACGTAAGTTGGTGCTCATAGGTATTTCTAGATTAGTCAATTCTTGGAGTCAGGCAATTTACGCCTTTCTACGACATTGTAAACTCATTACAATTAATGGATTGGAAAAAAGCTCAAAATCTTTTCCATGTAAAATAGGTACATACAACTAACACTGATGAATTGGGGGCCTGCTCTTTTTATTTTTGACAACTATGAAATCCTTACATCTGCCTCTAGGGATAACTAGAAATTATATTTGATGTGTTCTTTACCTATTATTTTCGTTGTAAATACATTCATTGATATAACAAGATTATTTCGTGGTTTAGGTAAAAAAAAGACAAATAGTCATAACCTAGATAACGTAGTTAAGAATTTAAAAAAATCATTAATTCATTAGGTACAATTAAGTTTTAATGCCCCCTTCCTACATCATGGAATAGAAACGAATGAGACTTCCTTTTGGAGTTTCACCCACTGTCGAATTAAGTTTTGGAGGGGTTGCAGACTTGCAGTAAAGTTAGTGACGTACTACAGAATTTAAAGAGTGCACAGCATCATAACACCAAATTGAAAAACTATAGGTATACTATACAGAACAGATGTTGAAGTAACTAGAATTACTAATTTGTTGAAATACATAAACATAACAATATAATTTATTTAATTTAACTTTTAGTCTAAGATTCGAACTAGAAACGACGATATAAGTGAGTTGTGGTGGGGTGGTGCATCGCTCGCACTCGCTAATGCTATAGGTACCACTAACTCCCGAGTAAACAATGCTGCTACAGTAACGCATTGAGGCGAGCAACTACTGATTTTCATTTGCGAAGTGATTTATTATGACTCGCATCCGCACACGGTTTCCCATAATTTGCAACATTGCTTTGTCGTTAAAACATTGGGCGCGGGAAACAGTTGTCATAAGCGCTGAGTCGCTGAGTACGGCTGAACGCGGTCATTGAATGGCGTTGCAATTATCAACGATAAGTAGCAAGTTATAATTTTCCTCCAAAAGCACGCATGCGCAATGAACAACTTATTTGTCAGTGCATGACTGACGTGCACGCAAGTAACGCGCGTTCGTATTCTTCGCAGACAAACATGTCTTTTGTTTTAACATATAAAACAATATAAAAAAATC